AAAGATCTATATTGTTGAATAATATAAAATCGATTACCGCAATACCACCAACTACTGAACTCATTCTAAAAGGGTCAATTAACCTTACCTCAGAACAAAACATCCTTATCGTAAATAATGTCCACAAATACATCGTTGACATTAAAAGATTCACTTAACATTCTTTACTTCTTGTGCTACTCTATCTATTGGTATATGTAGAGAGGAAAAGTTTTTTTATATACTACAATCCTCGTTAAATAAATTAATTAAACTAAACTACTTTCTAGCAAATGTTATTCAAAAAACATCCGAGTCCATTCTTCTAAGTCCATTTACTGACAATACTCAGAGACTGTATAGCTCTTGAAAAAAATCAAATTTCTCAGCGAATATACGACCAAGTGCTGGGAATTTTTTTTTCCATAAACCTCGAAAGTAGTACTATCTAATATATGATTTAGAATTTTTTTATTAGTAAATTGTTTTTTTTCGGTTTTTTTTTGAAACGGTACAATGCCAATACAATTCACTCAACTCTATTTAAAAAAAGTGTTCCACACTGGGCATGTTCAGAACGTGTTCTGAGAGAAAACGCTGTGCATTGGTTGGTCTGTTTTAGGACATGTAAGAAAATGCTTTTAACTTGTTGATACAAGGTCATACAGAGTTGTGCGACGTCTTATTTTGATCAGAAAAGTTTGCTCTACAAATCCACGGGTATAGAAAAGAGTTCACTTGCATAAGTATCAAGAAAAAAATTATTATTTGAAGACCTTTATGCTCAAGGCTTCTAGAAAACTTGCTCGAAAACCACGAAATAAAACGATGCGCTTAATTGACTGGTATATTTAACCGGTATTGTTTGATGTTACGACATTCTTTCAATCAGCATATATTATTAAACCAAGAATATAGAAAAAAATGGCATTAAGTATAAATATTTTATTTATGACAACAGACAGATTTTCAGGAATCGAGAACCTATGTTTCACGTGTTTTGGAAGTTCCCAAGATTGAAGTTTAGCCAATAGGTAGGTCCTCGGAAAACACTACAGTGTCTGAACCATGTTAGTTGGAATCCCGAGATTTATATAGTTTTATAGAGTAACGTCAGGAGGTTCGAACCTATCTCTTGGCATTCAAAATCCGAAACTATTTTAGTGAAGGGAGACCTTTTGCTAAACGTTTCGATGTGACTTACCAAGCGGTAATTTTATAATTAATTTTATATATACTGATAGCTCCAACATTTTTCTCTTTATAACTGAAAATCGCGGGTCTCGATCATTTTTCTATCAAAAGGTATTCAAAAATTAATGGATTCCACTATATTTTGAAATGGATAATATGAACCTAACCTTAAACAGTCAATAGATAATTACTTTCAGAACGCAAATCTCCATTCAAATTGAAGTTCAAATGTTTTTGTCGATGTTAAACTCGAGTGTCTCTATGTTTTACTCGATATTGATAAAAGATTAAATATCTAATAAAACTTTTATTCAGATAAGTAGTAAATCATAAATATTACTTTTGTTCTTGTACAAATTGTCGGAGAGAGATGTCGACTAGGTAGTTCAGTGGTTGGAGCATACACACGGAATACCAAGATCCTGTGTTCGAATCCTAGTCTAATCACACATATTTCCCTCACACAGGTAGACTTTATACCGTTGGTGAACAGTGTCTAGGTGTTCTCACCATCAGTATATTTGTTTATATTACAATAAATATGATATTGGTAATATACACTAATAAAAGAATCGAGTTGTGTAGCTGATCAAGTCTTTGGACAATAATTCATTTTTTCAGCGAACGTGAAAGCGTATTGAGATCTGAAGAACGTCAAAAAATAAATTGGCTTTTATTATTTCTTCTTCACACAATCGAAATCATGTTGAACAATGTCGAAATGAGTCAATGATCGATTATCAATGTATATAAAGAAATTAAACAAGTGCTCAATATTTTTTTATACTTTTCTTTGATCTATTAATTATTGGACATTTTTCTCGTCTGTTTTGTCTTTTTCGTGTTAAATATTTTTCATCGTGGTTGTTGTGGTGTAATCGACGAATTTGTAACAGTTTTTTATCACCATTCAGGTTTCTCCATGTATTGAATTCTGTTTCATTTTGAACGTAAATGGTTGGACAGTACCGTACATGCGGTTTATCAGTATCGTACACAGTAACGTACCTGCGGCCTCCCTAAATATACAGAACTAGTTATGATTATAGAACTAAAGTGATTCTTAACTAGACCCAACATAAAACAAAAAATTTGAAATAAACGTTGACATTGTGGTTTTTAAAAGAGCAGACTTTGTATACATTTTACAATACAATTCCAAAGTATCACAGCGATCATTTGCAACTTCCAAGTACATAATCACATGACTTCTGTAAATATTTTATGAACAATAAACGTTCATCATAGTGATTTACTTCGGTCTTGCTAAGGAGGAACAATAAAAACTGTAGACCTAATCAATAACTTGGCTCGCTATTTCTACTCAAATCCAATTGATTCTCACTATTTTCAACAATTTCACATAGATGATAGCCTTATCTATCAAATTCCTCATTTTGTTGTCATTATTAGCATCTATCTTTTTCAAAGTCTTATTGCTTACCGTGCAACGTATGCGAGTTCTACTGCGTGTTTAGCTTCTGTACCTCTTATGTTCCCAATTTTTGTTCTTTGTTAGGTGTGTGTTATGTTTTAGACGAACATATAGATATTTTTGTTTTCATTTACGATCTTAGTTGAGTTTAGTTAAACGAGTGATCAGTGTAATATAAAAGTATGGGAAACCGACTTACAAATAGTTTCGGTGAATATAATTCGAAAAATAACAACTTGAACAATAAACGATTTAATGAGAAATAGCGGCCAAATAGGGTATCAGTGAATGAAATTCGACATGATTTTAGTAATGGTAACGATGTCCAAAATAGTGTTTCTATTGATATTTCATTAATGTCAAATCCGTATTGAATATTTACTGTTAATTTTTCTAATTTTGTTACTTGTGTTAATAGTGAAATGATCTCCTTAGTTGAAATAAGTTTCACATTGAACTTTAGTTTAATTTCTTTTAAATCTTGTGGTATCACAAATGACGGTTGCTGACTACTATTGGCAGATATCGAACTAAGAGGCTTAATTAAATTTAGCTCTAAATATTTTAATTTAGGCATATAGGCAAATAATGATCTCAATTCACTGAAGTGGAAACCACTGTTTTTGATTGTTAAATATTCGATTGATGACGGGTGTTTATATGATGATAGTTGAAGTTCATCAAACTTTGGTATAATACCATTTTCACTCAATAATGATAAATATTTTAAATTTGTTAAACGAAATATTTTTGTAAGATTTAATTGATTGCTGAGGTATTCGCCACATATTTGAAGTGATAGATGTATCAAATTTGGAAACTTATTTAAGTTTTCTATAATGCCTTCCAAATTCTGCACTTTCCAATAGTCTTGTCCACTGTAAATTAGTCTGAGTGTTTGCAAGCTGATCCAGTTTCGTGCGTTGATTATAAAGAAATGATCTAGAAAAAGAGATGTATTTTTGCACTACATGTATGAGACATCCAAAACAAAAAAGACTTCTAGAAAAATAATTCACACCAAATAGCCACATGTCTCAGGAATTTTTTTCTGAAAAAGCTATACCAAAATAATTTCATCCTCATCTCTAGCAAACTTGACAAATGTCCCTTCGTTTTCCTTTGTTCAACCTCAATTATGGCGCAATCGAGATTGTCTTCTCCAATACAGCAAATGCTAATGAATCGCACGGCACCAAGTCTTACTTTTTTTATTGATAAGTGCATAAAACCATTTCATCAAATCAGATTGTGATTGGAAATATTTTTGATTTCCTTGTTCTATTGTTAATGCTTTAATTTGTTTTGTACTTATATATGGAATAATATCATCAAATAAATAATCCAATCGAATACGAAATGAACATTTGAAATGGAGGCAACAATTTTTAATTAGCAAATGAAAACGTTTATTTAAATAATATAAACTGTTGTAAATCTCGTTACCATTTAAGTAAACCCCCCCCCAGAATAGAAGGGCATGGCTTTCTCTTGTGTCCCGTCGGATCAAACTTTTTAGGGTGGCCTTCTATTAAGAGTGGCCTTCTAAACCGACCTCCTAGATAGAATTTTCTAAA